TTTGTTCCTATGAGGATGTTTGCAAACATCAGCACACCCAGTTTCATGAATGACAACTGGAAGCAAAAGTACTCAGGCTGCCGGGCGCCGCTGGCTCACGCCTGGAATCCTAGCTACTCAGGAGGCTGAGATCTGAGGATCACAGTTCAAAGCCAGCAGGTAGGAAAGTCTGTGTGTGACACTCTTACCTCCAATTAACCACCAGAAAACTGGAAGTGGTGCTGTGGCTCAAGTGGTAGAGCGCTAGCCTGGAGCTGAAGAACTCAGGGACAGCACCCAGGCCCAGAGGAGCCTAAGACTTTTCCTGCCTAGCTTCCAACCATAATACTCAGACAGATCTCAGCCTCCTGAGTAGCTAGGATAAGAGGCTGGGGCACAGGTACTTGGCAAGACCTACCTTCTTTTGAATGGTCTTGTTGTGGCGTCTAAAGAGTCCACTACGTAAAGTTCAAAGATTAAAATTAAGCTTTAAAATAGAGTAGCTCAACTGACTGGCCAGGGAAGCAGCGCAGACTCGGGAGCTGTGACTGTGACCCCCTCCTGCCAGAAGGCAGGGCTTTAAAAGCAAAAAACCACAATCAAGTGTTGTCTTGCAAGGCAAGCAATACAGAAAACAGGATCAAGGCATATTTGTATAAAAACAGGATCCAGATACAGACAGAATCTGAGTGTTTCTTAGGCCAAACCGGACGTGGCCCTTACCCCAATCAGACTGTGGTTTAACAGAATATCTTTTCCTTACACAATAACCAGCAACCTCACAGAAGGAAGAAGGAAGTAAAGTGAGCTCTAGGTCAAGATAGCATTACTTTGGTCAACGTAGGCCTCTACAGTTTGGCCTAGTTTTAGTTGAGCTGGTAAAATGAAGAGCACTGGGGTTCATGCCTATAATCCTAACTACTTAAGAGGCTGAGATCTGAAGATTCTGGTTCAAAGCTACCCTAGGCAGAAAAGTCTGTGAGACTCTGGTCTCCAATTAACCACCAGAAAACTAGAAGAGGAGCTATGGCTCAAAGTAGAGCACTAGTATTGAGCAAAGGAGCTCAGGGACAGTATCTAGGCCCTTAGTTCAAGCCCCATGAAAAAAGTAGCAGTGAGCCCAGCTCCAGTGCTACGCCTGTAATCCCATCTTCTTAGGAGGCTGAGATCTGAGGATTACAGTTGGTTGGAAGCCAGCCAGTGACTTTTATCTCCAATTAACCATCAAAAAGCCATAAGTGGAGCTGCGGCTCAAGTGGTAGAGTACTAGTCTTGAGTACAAAAACTCAGGGACAGCACCTAGACCCTGAGTTCAAGCCTTAGGATTGGGCGGGGAGGGGAGGGCAGTTGGTCCTGGGGCTTCAACTCTGGGTTTGAGCCACTGGCACCTGGCTAGTTTTAAGACTCTTATCTCCAATTTAGCACCAAAACTAGAAAGTGGAGTTATGGTGCTAGTCTTGAGCAAAAGAATCTGAGGGGCGGGGTCCATACCCTGAGTTTACACACACACACACACACACACATCTCCACTCAGGCTAGAGGGAGAGCAACTCCTTCCCATGGTGTTCCAGAAGAAGAGCTCTGATTGGTCTCAGGCACTGTGCCATGATTGGTACAAACATAATTCTTTATTTGCAGGAGGGACTTCCTATGGTCCAACTTCCTACCTTTATGGCTGTTTAACTCACTTTGTGAATAGCTAGCAGCCCCCCCCACACACACACCCTAGAGCTGCCTCTTTCTGGATTTGGGTTGCAATATCAGTTCCCAATGAAAATCTTTGCATACACACACCCACACCCACACCCTCTAGCCTGAGTGGAGATGGCTGCTGGGGTGGTAGGAGGCTGGTGCAAGCTGGAGACCAGCTTGAGGACTGTCTATAGAGTTTGTGCTTTGCCTACCGGCATGACAGTCTGGCTGCTGGCAGGTAGTCCTTTGTTGCAAGCAGCTGGACCTTTGTCAGTTTAGGAATTAAGCTGCCAATTAGGGAAGTAAGTCTCAGTAGCTAAAACACCTCAGCACATTTAAAGGAAAAATAAACGTTCAGAAGGAAGCTTATAACAAAAGCTTATAAGTAACAGTGCTTTAACTGTTTTTGAACACTGCTCCGGGGAGCCATGCATCCTTACCACCTATTTTAAGAAGAAGAAAAAGATTATGGAGAAGCAGTGTTCCAATGGGTAATTGCCAAAACTCCCAAATTTATGGAAGATTCGGATTTAAGAAACTGCTATCAGCCGGGCCCTGGTGGCTCACGCCTGTAATCCTAGGTACTCAAGAGGCTGAGATCTGAGGATCACGATTCAAAGCCAGCCTGGGCACGAAAAGTCCATGAGACTCTTATCCCCAATAAACCACTAGAAAACCAGAAGTGGTGCTGTGGCTCAAGTGGTAGGGTGCTTGCTTTGAGCTGAAGAGCACAGGGACAGCACCCAAGCCTAGAGTACAAGCCCCATGACAGAGAAAGAAAGAAAGAAAGAAAGAAAGAAAGAAAGAAAGAAAGAAAGAAAGAAAGAAAGAAAGAAAGAAAGGGAGGAAGGAAGGAA